AATTTTCATGAAATATTAAAAAAGAGAATGATATCTCTCTAAAGTGTATTTGGATTGAATGGATTCACATAAGCTTGTTATAACTTTATATTCACTAATTTTATTGTAAAATCAATACTCCTTACCATATTTGTCAAGGTCTGGAAGGTTAATCTCGTCAGAGAAGAGAACCAGCCACTTTCCGAGTTGAGAAGGAGCCATCACAACTCCATTGGGAGTCCTCTTGTACTCACAGTAATGATCAAACCTCTTTAATAAATCAGAAAAAATTCCAAAAATTAATTAAATAAAATCCAAAAAAATTCCCACACTCTTAAAAAAAATTAGAAAAAATTAAAAAAATAAAATAAAACAAATCCAAAAATATTCCCACGCTGTTAAAAAAAATTCAGAAAAAATTCCAAAAATATAAATTAAATAATTCGAAAATATTCCTACAATCTCGAAAAATTCAGAAAAAATTCGAAAACTTAAAATAAAATAATTCAAAAATATTCCCACGCTGTCAGAAAAAAAAATTCGAAAAATATAATAAAAATATTCCAAAAATATTCCCATTCTCGGAAAAAAAATTTGCAACATAAAAAGCCACTGTTTCGTTTAACTTTATAAATGCTAGAGACAGTATAAAATATGCCAATTGTTCCTGAAAAAATTTTTCAAAAAACCAGCATCAACATTATCACTTTTGCTAGATGCACCAATTCAAAATTAAAATATTCAATTTACTTCAACTCTTGCTAGATCAGGCTAAAAGATATCCTAGCCTTCTGGAGGTGAGTGGCCCAAGAGGTGAAGAGACTGTGACGAAACTGTTGATCAAAGTAACCTCCATACACCATGAATGCTGACATCAGCAATACATCTCCACTGATTGTAGACATTTGAGTCTTGAATGTTTCACTCCCTGTGTTCCAACACTCTCTCTCTCTCCACTGAGACTGGTCAGTAGTGCCTTGCTCCTATTAACCTGTTAATATGATGATAACTTGATATGTAGATTTAGAGAAGTTACCTTAAGGAGACTATTGTTAGCAGGTATTTAATTTAGCAAATTTTAGCAATTTTAAAAAAATCGCTAACTTACATGTAAGTCCACACTAACTTTAATTTCCTATTATATATATTAATACTTTATTAATATTAAATGATCAAAAACGCTAAATTAAATACCAGTCAAATGTCAGTATCATGAGAGAAAATCTCTGAAATAAGCACACGCTAATATCATCTCCTTAAGGTAGTAAAACTATTTTTTAACTATAAATACATGTACTGTATGTAGAGGTGCTTTAAATATCTTGAATACTTTTAATATTATTACAATCTGGGGGCGTAGCCCCCAGGTCATCCTATAATTGATTTCACCCATGTGCGATATACATGTACGTGTATATATTTGTATGTCCACACTTACATTTCTTCTATACACATTGTATTGGAGAAATAACAAGCCTTAGCAACCACCCACCACACTACATAAGTGGGTGTGGTTATAGCAAACAAAATGGCAGTTTGCACATCGGACAAAGTTATGAGCTTTCTAACAACAAAAGAGAATAGAAATACTGTCTAAAGTCTTTTCTGGAAGAATTAGAAGGAAGAGAGAACCTTCATAAGTCTTAATAAGGACCCAGCTGTACATGCAAAGTGGTAAAACAATTATAGGAATATTTTTACACTGTTACGCTTGTAAAGCTTCATTATTAAAATACTTTACCTTTTTTCTATTAATAAAAAACAACATTTAAAATATAATTATTATTTTTTAATTTTTTGTTTTGTGACTTTGCTATAGAGGCTTCAAGTTCTGCTATTATTTTTGTTATTTCTTCTCCTTTTTGACGAGTGTCCTCAGCTTTGGTTTCCAAATCTTTCAATTCTTTACGTAACGGATCAACTCTCTTCAACATATCAGCATAACTCAACTATAGGAGAGAGAGAAGAGGATACAATATTATCAATACAATAAGGTACACAATTATTACAAAGAAATAAAATGAATAAAAATGCCTCAAGTTCACTTTTAATTGTGTGCATTAATTCAGCATTTTAGATCCATTTGGGAGTTTGGCTATATTTAAAATTTATCCACAGCAATCAATTCATGAACTGGCTTTAGAGCAATTAAAAAAATTCATAAAAAATCAAATCTTGATCGGTGTTATGTCTGGAGCATAGAATTAGCAAGGAGAATGTGTTAAATACACTGAATAAATAAAATGATTAGCACAAACGGTTGGCAATCACTCCAAACACAAACCAAATAAAAGAAGAGAAGAAGCAGAGCCAGAAGGGACCAAGAACAGAACAAAGGACAAAAGAACAAGAACTGAACAAAAACGTGGAAGGGTAGAATATATACATGTGTATGCACCTACACAAATT